AGAAAAAGAGAAAATTCTGCATCTTCTTTTTCTAGGAAAGAAAAGTCACCTTCTATACATAATCACAAGAGCACATGTGTGTGGTACAGAAGGCAAATTGTCTATTTGTCCCACATGAATGAAATAAAGCTAGTAATGAATGTGTGGAAGAGATACATTTGTATTTGCAGCAGGTGCATGATATATCATGGTGGTAGCAGCTCCCAAGAGAACAGTTCTTTCACCACTGTACTTGGGACACTCCCTCAGCAGCACCACCATCATCCTGCCTTCAGCACACAGCAGCAGCGCAGCCACAGCTGTTTGCAGCCCATCTTACTGCCTGTTGTGGCCTTGCCTGGGCTGGTCAACACTCTGCACGTTTCCAGAACTATCTGAGAAGCAACTGTGCTAGATCTGTGCCATACACGTAAATTTCATGCAGTGTGGTGTGGAGGATATGGTATTGTATTAAAGAGAAAGGTGGAGTTAAGTCAGAACTTAATGCTCAGTACCACATACAGCAGGTAATGCTGTGAACAGTGAAGAGCTGTTAAAATTGAGTCAACCATCATGGACACTGATGTGAAGTACCCTCTGGGTTACCAGCTGAAAGAGTGTAGGGAGAAAATATATTTAGGTTTGCGTACATTGTGGCTTGAGCCTATTCAAAGTTTCATTAATTGCCTGCATGTGTTGAATTTTTTGTCTGCTTTCAAATTTTAATGTTTGTAATTTTTGTACAAATAACACGGGAAAGCTAAGTCATGCTGGTGATGAAAAAGGAAAACTCTTTTTAAGAGGGACATAGAACATCTCCTCTACAAATACAAAGGGTACCTAAAGGGCTGAGGTAGTAAATACCTTCTAGCCATTGCTGTGCGCTTTGTGGTTGTGTTTCTGACCCTGCTTGAGTCCAGATGGGTATTGCAACACACAGAGGCCAGTCTGGTGCCAGCACCTGTACTGAACAGCTGATTCAGGGCTTTCACATAAAATAAAACCCGTATATTTCATGGAGACTAGAGTAAAAATGCTGTACTTTGAAGTCTGTCATAAAAATTATCTTTAAGTTTAAATTGGGTTTAACAAAGCCACAGCAATTTCTTGCAGACTCAATTCAAAACCATAAGCTGGCCACTTGAAAAAGGAAGGAAGCTGAAGCAGGCTCTAATTTTATCCTGCTTTCCCAAGAAAACAGTGGTTATGATAGCATCGTGGTTACATACATGTCTGTATTCTTCTCATTGTCCCCAGTTCAACTTTGATTTTGCTAGTCCTTTTTGTAAAATCAGTTAAGGGATAAAAATATAAAAAATGTATGTTCCATCCTGTTATGTCAGGGTAGAAAAACAGATGTACATAAACTTTGTCATCTACCAAGGAGACAATGTGAATTTAGTTCTATCAGGCTCAAGACCCTAAAACAATACAAAAAAACAGGCAGAGAAGAGCCACAGGAAAATAACCCTTGTAAGCTCTACTTACAAAATGTTGGTTCTTTCAGAGCATCCAAGCACACCTAGTACGAAACAGCAGCATCACAACATGTTATTTGAACATGTTAGTTCAAATTGTTTGTACCAATGTGAATTGTCCAGTCTGTGTAATTCTCTGTCCTGTATTCCCAATAGTGGCAGAGACTAAGCAGTCTCAACTGCAAATCAACTATTTGATGCTAAATTAAATTGCATTTCAGTTTGGTTGTACTGACAACAATTAATCTCAAGACCTACTTTTTTTTTTTTTTCTTTAGCTGTGTATTTTGTGTAGTAGGAAGAGGAAGGAGCCTTGACTTTAACATCTTTGCTGCATGAGATTAGAATAATAAGGCATAGGTGACTGAATTGACTCCTAGTTAAATTCAGCTGAAGTAAATTGACTGATTGGGTTCACAGCTCTGGTTTCTGGCTTCTTTCCCAGCAGCAAAGGAGCAACTTCCATCAAACATGCTGGTGAATGTAGCCATGGCAATGATCCAGAGTGCAACATGACTACAGAGAATGGAAAAGGAGGCATCTTTCTGCTCACAAAGTCAGCTGTCCTTGATGTGCTTTTAAGCACTCTAGTAAATTTCTGATGGTTAGTAAATAAAGGGGTTGTGGATTGAAGTTCAGGAAAAGAATTGTGTCTGTCGTTTGTCCTTTCTGGGCTCTTCTTTTGTCACCAAAAATAGGTTCTTCCTGAGCAAAGCTGGCAGGTTCTTGATATGCTTTAATTATTATAAATCAGATAAAAGAAAATGCTGTCCTCAAAGGCACTGTCTGTCCCTGTTTGAATGTACATAACCGAATGGATCTTGTCAACTACACCTACTGCATTTTTTGAAACATCTTTCCATGGAGCATTTAAAGGGATGCAAACTCTTAACTTTTGGAGACAGTGGGAAGACAGTTTCTTGTTTTCATTGTGCAGTTGTTTTAACAGGGAGCTTGTCTGAAAATTATTTTACTGTGTCACTGGTTTTTAACCTGGCGGTGTCCTAGTATTACATTTAGGTCTTTCAAAATACCTTAAGAAATTTGGGATTTGACAGCTTCGCTTTTTAACTTACTCCTTCTTAGGACTGTGATCCCACAAACTCTCTGTATGCATGTTTTATTGTCTTTAATTTTATACAGAGAAATATGAAACAGTAATGTCAATGTCAAACCTGGTTGCAGGGAAGAAAAAAGAACTGACTGCCTGAAAGCAGGAAATTGGTAATAAGGTAAAAAAGCAGTTCTACCTGTGACTTAAACCTGCTTAAACCTTTCTGCTATCAGAAAAAAAGATTATTTCTACTGCTATTTGTTCAGATATCTTTGTGAGGAACATCATGGCTGCCTCATAAAAAATAGAAAATTGTTTCAAAAAGAGTCGCTTTTCAGGTTTTTCTTACAGGGTTTGTGAAGGTGCAAGGGTTACTTCTATTATCTTTATTTGCATGTGTTAGGAAATAGAAGTTAATTAGTCACAATCGAGCATTTCCTTCCAAGCAAAACAATCTTCTGCCTCAGTCACAACATGCTGGCAGCTTCTTAGGTACCCATACACCTTTTCTCCTCTGGTTTGGCAGCCAGTAGTTCCTAATCCAACCTCTCATCTAAGAGGCCACAGATTTGGTCCTTCCCTCAGGCCAGCTAAGATTCTGCTTTGACTCTGCCACATGGAAGCTGCTACCTCAGTTCGTCTCCAATTTGGAGAGAAACAAAAGTTGGGCCCTTCTTTGACAGTACAGTTGGGATCCACAGCAAGGCAAGAGGCCACCTTCTTTGCCTTTCACAGTGGGAAAGTAAGGACAGCAGTCTTCAACAAACTTGGTTGATTTGCTACTATTTTCTGCAAACCTGTTAAGTGGACAGTTCTTGGTCAATGTTTGACCCACTGTACTTGTTCAGAGAACACCTTCAATTTTGCATGATTATTTGTCTTGCATCTTTTTCAGGCTGTACTTTTGTGGGTCTCTGCTGCTTGAAAATAGGGAAATTTAGGGTTTGTTCACTCAATGAAACCAAGATTTCCCAAACTCATTCAGCACTGCTGTTGGGTTTGAATTTTTTTCCAGCTAAGAACAGAGAGTTTGGCCTGTAACCACCCTACTTTTAGTTGGGTATCAGTGAAATGGGTCTCTGCTGTTATTCTCTCTCTTCCCTCCCACCTCCTACCTCGCTTTTGCCTGTGGAAAAGATGGGTCAGATGGGAAGGTGTAAGAAATCTTTGTAGGCATGAAAAAGAAAGAACTTTTTTTTCCAGTTTGTGTATATGTATATAGTCAGCTGGGAGAATGTATGTTATGGTTGGGGTTTTCCCCTACTGAGACAATCAGTACAATGTAACTGCGAAGGTGGGTATTTCTACACACATGACTGTGTATCGACATACTCCCATAAATGCCATGGGTTAAATAAACCAAAAATCTCATTAGCTGATAAAACAGTAACATGGATACGGCTACTTATTCTATCAGTCAACCCTGAGATAAGGGTCTGTTTCTATGCTGATGACTACCACATCAGCTGGGATACTGTTATGGAGGCAAACTCCTCCAGAGCACCGTGTCTGCAAGGAGCTTTGTGAAAGAGGGCCACGGGGCCAAGGTTTTTACTGCTATTGCTACAGGTTCTATGGTTGGTTAAAGTCTCACATTTGCTGCTTAAACTGAAGTTAGGTTTTCCCCCAAAACCTAATTTAGGTTTTAGGCCTCTTCCCAGAAGCTGTGGGACGTAATTTGTCCTGCTCTCGTCAGCAGAGTGGAGTGCAGTGTGTAGTTTTGGGTGCCATAACAGAAGGTATAAAGACATTCAAGAGGGTGTAAAGGAGGATCACAAAGATGGTGAAGGGCCTTGAGGTGAAGCCATATGAGGAGCAGCTAAGGTCACTTGGCCTGCTCAGCCTGGAGGAGACTGGACACCTCAATGCAGTTACACCTTCCTTGCGAGGGGAAGAGGAGGGGCAGGCACTGATCTCTTCTCTCCAGAATGTGAAACACAAATCACAAATTCACAAAGTCTGTGAATCAGGTGACTAGTGACAGGACACAAGGGAATGGCCTGAAGTTGTGTCAGGGAAGGTTTAGGCTAGCTATCAGGAGAAGGTTCTTTACCCACAGGGTGGTTGGGTACAGGGTCCCCAAGCGTACCAGAAGCATTTGGACAAAGCTCTCAGGTACATGCTGTAACTCTTGGGGATGTACTGTGCAGGGCCGGGAGTTGCATTTGATGACACAGTTCAGGATGAGTTGTGATTCCGTGGGACACGGGCTGACCCTCTGGCAGGGCCGTGTGTGCTGGGGCTGGCATCGTGCTCGGGCTGGGGCAGTGTGTGCCGGGGCTGGGGCAGTGTGTGCCGGGGCAGTGTGTGCTGGGGTTGGGGCAGTGTGTGCCGGGGCCGCGGGGCGCGCTGGGCCCGGGACCGGCAGCGCACGGGCAGGGGCGCAACGCCCGCCAGGGGACGCCCTCCGCCGTGGCAGGGCCGCGCGGGGCGCGGGGCAGGAGGGGGTGGGAGCCGAGCCGACTATACGTTGGGGAGCCAAGCCAGGCTGTCGCGTTCTTTTCCCGGCCCTCAGGCGAGGAAGGCACCTGAAGGGGCCGCGGCGCCCAGAGGGGTGGGAGGTAAGGCGGGGGCGGCTGCGGTGGGTCAGGGCGGCGGGTCGGTCCCGCCGCTTACAAACTTCCCGCCGTGAGCGGGACGCGTTTGCGGTGCGGTAGCGGCTCGCCCGCTCCTTGCTGCGCTCGGTCCAAGCGGAGGTGACAGCCCTGCACAGCTCCTCCGACCCCGCGGGGATTGCCGTGCTCGGGGACTCGGCCGGTGCCGGCCCCGCCGGGAGGGGCTCCTGCTCCCCCGCGGCCGCACTGCCCTGGCGCCCCCGGGCCTCGTCCTTCGGCGGGCGGGGGCGGAACTGCTTCTGGTCCCGGCCGGACCGACAGGTGGTGGGCGCTGCCTGGGAGGGTGGCATGGAGCTGGTGAGCGCGCTTCGCTCCGAGCAGCAGCGGCTGGGCTGCAGCCCGCACGAAGGTGCGCTTTCCCAAGTGCTCCTCTTTCCTTTTTTTTTTTTTTTTTTTTTTATTTTTTTTTTTTTTTTTTCTGTTTTTCGGCGGCGGCGGGGGTTGTTTATTTATTTGTTGGTTTCCCTTTTCCCCATCCCGTATCTCAGAGGCAGGTCGCTGTGTCCTTCCTCCAGAGCTCCAGGAGCCGGCTCGGTCCTGCCCGGGAGCCGCGGGCCCTCTGGACCTGTTTCCCGAGCGCGGGAGGGACGGGCCGGGCCGGGCTGGGCGCAGAGCTCCCGTCGCTTCTCCGCACTCCGCACCGTGCTCTGGCGCAGGCAGACGAGGTCCGGAGCCCTGCGCGCTGGTCCTACTGTAACCGTGTTGAGCAAAGGGTGGGAGACTCAGCCAGCAGCTTGTCGTCTTCCGTGGCAAATGCTGAGACGCAGCGTCTTAAAAATGGCAGTTTTGCTGGGCTTTCTTTAATGCTGTGGGCGAAGTTAGTGTCTCAAGAAACGTGCTATGCAGCTGGTCTGCCGGGTCTCTTGTGCAGACACAGGCTCAGGGTGCTGGATTTTACTTTTAATTTACGAAGCTGCCCAAGGAAAAATGGTTTGTGTTAAACTTCTTGTTCCCTAGTGGAACACAGTATTTGAAATCCCTGCGAGTGTTTGCAATCGCAGTGTGACAGCTTGACAGCTGCCTCTCGGAGACTGACCCAGGGCTTGTTACAGAGAAATGCGTAATTGCTGGTGCGAGGACTCGCACGCCCTAGAGATACCCGCTGTTGGCTTAAAAGAGAACCGCAGTGCAAGCGCAGGCAAAGGCTCCTGGAGAGTCCTGCTTGAAGCTGATTGACCCTGCAGATCATCTGTCTTCTGGCAAGACTGCTGCCAGCTGGTATTTGAAGATGTAGAAGCCTTCTTGCTCCCATTTGATGGTCAAATCAGCCCGTTCTGGGACTGGTTGTGGACAGCTTTCATAAATGAAATATTCTGATTGAATAACTGTATGGTTGTCCAAAGGTGTTTGAGGATCTTCCCACCCCTGCTTAAATTTCAGCAACTTCTTAAATAGGCATCGGGATTGCTTCTACTCTCCAAGCCTTTTAGTTGTATTTTACACACAGGTATAAATACTGAATGGGAGATATTGTGAGACAATGTTCTGGACATACATAACTGGAGAATTTATGTGCTGGTTGCACTGCAGTAGGTAGAGGAGAGCCTGTTTCCCTCTTTTCCACAGCAAACCATGTTATTAAAGATTTGCACACATCTCTGAGTGGATCAATAATGGTGACCTGTGAGCAGGTTATGCTTCTCTGCTCCATGGGGCATAGAAAGGAGCATTCTTTGAGCACAAAAAAAACCCCAAAAAACAAAAATCCCCAACCATAACAAACCCCCCCCCCAAAAAAAAAAAAAAAAAAAAAAAAAAACCACAAAAAAAAAAACAAAACAAAAAAAACACACCAGAAGGAGGAAACTGATGTTTTTTAATCAGACAATATGCACATCTGAAAGCATACTGTAGAGTAGAAAGAGAAGCAGCACAAGGTAGAGTACAGTCAAGCAATACTGAATTCCAGAAAGTGCTAAAGAGAAAAGGAGGTGGGTGCAGAATGGCAGGATGTTGCTTGGCATCAAGCCTCTTGCAGCGATGATTTTGTGCAGTTTGCTGGTGTGTTGGTGTAGTAGCTGATGCTACTTAGAATGCATTAGTGAATGATGTGAGACTTGGGACTGGACCAGATGACTTCGGTTTCTTTGCTGGTGTTTCTCTCCTGAAAAATACTCTTTATTAGCTGCCAGCAAAGCACTTGGGATCGTTAGGTCCCTGGGGAAGGTACTTGTGTTTTGGAACAGAAACTGAAAGAAACAGAGAGGTCCTAGTGCCCTGGGAACAAGGACCACAGAGTCATTTGGAATAGCAGTTGTTTAAAAATGTTATAGGGCAAACATGGTATTTGTCTTTGTTTAATATGTAGTCTTTATCACTAATTAGGTAAACTGAGATTTCAGATGGAATTTTCTTAGACAAAACACAGTGCTATTTTCATTCTTCTGTTTTAGGGTATTATCTCAGGTTTAGATTATTTGGTACCTTTGACAAATAGATGAATGTCTTGTGAGCCTCTTCTGAGCCAGGGACTTAGGCAGGACCTGTCCAGATAAGATGGAGAAAGAAACCTAAAATAAGTCAGCTAGAACTGGAATTTTAAGCTAAGTACTGTAGAAGTAAATTTATTTCCAGAGAAACTACACTGTGCTATTCCAATAAGGTGTTCTGGTGATGGGTAATTAGCATATTAGTATATTAAAGGAGAAATACTTACAAAGGAACTGCAGGTATGGGTGAAGATCAGTTATACATAGTGTAACTGAGAGGTTCTTTTAAAGGTATTTGGACAAGATAAGAAAAGCAGAAGAGGTTTTGCTTACTGTTCTTGTTATCCAATCTTGCTGCAACACTCCCCTTTCTCTTTTTTGCTGGTTCTCATATGCAGTGGGTGTTCTTCTCTGATTTTAAATCTTTACCTTTGAACAAAAGTATGGATTTTATTTGTTTTGGTGTTTTGGGTAATTTTTTGTTTGTCTGATGGGCTCAGGAAAAGGTTCAACAACTATTAAAACAGGACAAGGATGTGAGATTGGAAAGAGGTAAAGGGTGGAAGAATGTAAAACTGGGTCATTGATCTTGTGAACCATCACTGTTGTTTGATTTCCCTGGAAAGATAAAAGGGGACTTATTCTAATCAAGTAGCTTAATGGGAACGTGCTTTTTAACAGCAGGGGGCTCTTTGGCCAAGAGTTTCTAAGAACTGTTTGGTCTAGGAAATCTGTCATCAGTTTTAGTCTAAGACATGTGCTGCTTCTGCTGTTGAGAGCATTTGCTTACCACGCCAATACAATCAAATAAAAAAGAAAAATATTTTTTTTATTTTTTATTTTGAAGATTCAGCATACCCTTATGCTGACAAAAGGTGTAGGTTTTTAGGCTAGAAAGATTTTAGTAAATTCTGTGTATAATAGCATGCAGTATATCCAGGTGGTTGGTAATAGGTGACCATTTCTGTCATAAAAATAACTCTCCACTGTAGTGAGCATTAGTTTTGGAGTTTGGATTTTTGTTTTTTGTGATTTAGCACTTACTACCATTCAGATATAGAAAAATGAAAAAAAAAAATGCTGCTCTGAAGTTTTAAAGCAAATTCTAGCAGATAGAAGAACGCAGCCTCTGAAGAGGGTGCTGAACGCGTGTTTAAAGCAGCTTCATGAGCCCTGATACCACAAACTTCCAGTGTCCTGAAACTGGAAAGGTGTGACTGGGGGCTGACTTCTTGCCCTGTGATTATTAATTCCTTGCTTCAGCTCTTCATCTCATCAGAATTGCAGTTTATCTTTTGCAGCTTACAACGTCTGTATTTTGAAGTAATCCAACTTTTCATTGATCAGTACAATATGGTACAAATGCTAGCAGTGATCACTTCAGATGATGCTTCCTGCAGAATATGAGCTTTAACTTTTTCTTCTTTTAACCAAGAAAAAAAAAAAAATCAAGAGGATCTTGAAATTAAGTCTTTTTTGTTCTTAAAAGAAATTTTACGTAGCTTTGAAATTGTTACTAATTGTAAGAATTAGTAATTATTTTCACTTTCTCATTTTAGTGTCTCCCTCCCTCCCCCAATCCCCCTTTGTTCTTGTACCCACTGGCATGGTATTAGAGTGCTTGATTAAGATAGACATTGAAGTCGTGTCTGTTCACAGATAATATCAAAGCCAATACACTGAAAAACCGTGAAAAAGCAGATGTGGGTTTGTGTCTTTTGATCTCCAGTTACAGCAGTGATAGAAAGTTACAAAAAGTTTAATTTTAAGAGTTATATGTAACAGCAGTAGTCTGGAATTTTTCATGACAACGTTCAGTACTTAATTTTTAAGTACTCATTTGAAGAAAAAAAAAAAGTCAATGCTTAGTTTTTTGACTTTAAATAGTAGAAGACCATATTCAGTTTCAGAAAATGCAATTCTTTCCACAGGAGTAGAAAGCTGCATATTGTTTCCTCAAGTAGGGTTAAGACTGAATTCCAGGTGAAAAATGGGAAAATAGTATTGGTTACAGTTACTTCTTTTTTCTTGTATAAGATACAGTTAACTGTAACTTGTAAAAGCACAGATTTTTTACAGAGTGCTAGCATGGGCAGTTCTTAAACAGCTGTGTTCCCTATAAAAGCATAGCTGATATCAGTTAGGTAAGCTTAGCTGGATACCCCAAGTTATCATCTAATGAGTTGTCTCTTCCCCCCTTTCAAAAAAACCCAAGCAGCCTGCATTTTGGAAGTGTGAGTCACAATTGACAATGAGGAGTGCATGAGTTAATAGGCAAATCTTCTTTGTGTTTGTTGAAGTACCGCCCCAGAAGAGCAGATGGAGGAAGTGAATGTTTCCACACTGTCCAGGGATGAGCTCTTTTTAGGTCAAGGTGCTGTCATTACCTAACCAAAACATGCTGTGATTCCATGAAGAACTGATAGAATCCAGTTGGAATCCAGTAGGCTGTGCAAGGTTGTTACTAGTCATACCTGCTGAAGCCTGTGCTAACTCTTTGCTTTTTAGAGACTGGAA